CGCCCTGGTGGCACAGCGGTTATGATCTGGGCTGTGCCCATCCACATGGTGGGCAGTTCAAAACCACCAGCCGCTCTGCGGCAGAAAGGGTAGGCTGTAACCCACTGTGCTTAGTTCTGCTGTGCTTAGACAGCAGAGGGAGCAAGAGGTAGGGAGGGATCCTTTGGAAGAGGATCGCGATAAAGGCTTGCTACAGCATGAAGCAGCCACCCGCGCACTGACTGGACTCGTGGAGCTGTGGAACTGGTGAAGGTTTGCCAGCTCACATGTCTTTCCAGCACAACAAAAAGGCACGTGCATGCCATCCCCAGGGTAGCGCTCCATCTCAGTTCGGATCCTGCTTCTCCAGTGGGTGGGGCTCTGCATCCTGTCCCCTTACCCCCCACCCCATGGCGCCCTTCTCCAGAGTCCAGCCTTCCATTCTTGGCTTCTTGGATGCCGTACTGGGCAGGGTGGGTCTCTAAATCCACAAGGTTCTCGCTGATTCCAAAAGTGATTTGGCTAAAGAACTCACTCGTTCAGAAATATCATAAAAGGGCTAATTTTATAGAAGACATTTTGGGGAGGAATGCTGGCTTAGGAGAGGCTGTAAGTGGCTCTCAATATCTATTCCCTCCTTCTTTGACAGGATATTCTTAGCTTGGCACACGGTCTCCCAAAACACACCCCCGTTCCTTGGGCCCCCTTGCATCTGGGTTTGTCTCCATGAGGTCCCTGGGTGATGCCAATGGTTAAGTGTTCACCGACCAGCTGAGAGGCTGGCAGCTCAAATGACCCCAGAAGCCCCTTGGTGGCCTGCTTCCGAGTGGTCATGGCTCTGCACACGTGGGGACCCAGGTGAATTGGAAGCCATACATCACAATAAGTCACTACTGACAATATCGACAAGACGGAATTCTGGCCAATCAGATGTGGGCGTCTTGAGCCCCCTCCCTCCATCCCGCTGCCTCCAGGGTGGACACGGTGACTCGCCATCTTTGATCTTGCAGTGTGCTGTGGCATCAGCCCAAGGACCATGGAGCAGACGCTGGCACAACAAGCCAATGGGAGCCTGGATGCCTGATGGACCCGTGGACCTGAGCCAGTGTGCCAGCCCCGGGCAAGCTCACTCCGGGTATTGCTGTCACAGGCGAGAGAAGCCAAGCCCGATCTGGCTGAGGCCTCTGGTGCTCTGGGTCAAGCCCATGTCCTCGTCCCTAGACTGGACTCAGAGGGGGCAACGTCCATCGCTCAGCCGGCTCTCAGAGCCATGCTGGGTGGTCTCCTGTGTCTGGCCAGCCTCACTCTTCAGAAATAGGAAGCACCAGATGGCAGGCTGGCAGCGCTCACCTTCAGAGGGACATTGCCTTGTTGGATCAGGTGTGTGTGTGTGTGTGGGCACCAAATGGACTACAGCCTCCCGACTCCAGGCTGGGAGAGGGGGCGGGGATCAGGGTCCCACAGAACAAGCCTGTGGACACACTGCTGTGTGACAAGGAAGTAGACAGAGCAGCATGGCCCGGAGCCCAGCCTGTGTTCTGGTGCCTGGGATGGCTGCCCCCCAGGAAACAAACTCCTCAAAGGAGCCTGGCTGCCCATCTTCACTCACCCCATGTGGCCCGGGGTCCAGCCCAGGAGGGCCTGGGCTTCATTAGCCGAGTTTCTGGAAGGACAGCATGAGCCGAGGAGCTGCGGCTCAGGACCCAGTGTGGCCATGCTACGGCTGTCCGTTAGAAAAAGATCCTTTTCCTTACATGTAAACGGAAGTATGCCGTCTGCAGAAGCCCTGGAGACGTAGCACTGAACACACACGTTGGGCTGATAACCACCAGGTCAGCAGTTCGAAAACAGCAGCTTCTTCTCGGAGAACGATGAGGCTTTCTACTCCCATGAAGAGTGACAGTCCCAGGGACCCACGGGGCAAGTTCTACCCTGTCCTGGGAGGGTCGCTATGGGGCCACAGCGAGTTTGGTGTTGGGAGGGTTAGTCTGCAGCGAACTTTTAAGAGCTTCAACAAGCCCAGCCAGAGAAGAACAACAAACAGCAAAGGCGCTGGTGGCACAGCAGTCAAGCGCTCAACTGCAGACCGAAAGGTCAAGGTTCGAACTGACCGCCGGCTCCCTGGGAGAGAAGCCGATCCCCCTGCCACCTCCAGAGCCTCTTCCGGCCCCTCTTCAAAGTCTCATTCACTCACTGCCACCAAGTCGAGGCCGATTCACGGCATCCCTGCGGGGCAGGGCAGAACTGCCCCTGTGAGTTTCCCAGCTGCCACTCTTTATGGGAGTAGAGAGCCTCTTCTTTCTCCCTCGGGGAGGCTGGTGGTTTTGAACATCTGACCTGGCGGTGAGCAGCCCACTATGCCACCGGGACTCCTCCTTCTCTAGAATCCTCACGTGTCCACTGTACTGCCCTGGTCAAGACCGGACCAACCCACCAGGTGGCTGAGCTAAGTCCGTGCGGGTTCTTCCAACTTCTCTGGGGTTGGAAACAACTCCACAGATGAACTGGGAGAACAGAACTGAAATAAGATATGCGGGGGCACGGGAGTGGGGGTGGAATCAGGTCATTGTTGTGGATCGAATTTCATCTTCCCATCCCGCTGGGAACAGGAGCTCACCAGCAGCTCTGAGGAAGAAAGAGGATGCTTTCTGTCCCCATAAAGATTTATATTCTTGGACACCGGCGGGGGCTGTTCCACTCTGTTCTCTGGGGCCGCTGGGTGGACGACTTGAAGGCAGTGAATTTGTGCCCTGAAAACAGCTATGTAGCAGCCCCTGTTTTAGGGTACAAAAGACACCCCATCTCAAATATAATTTAAGAGCACTCACTGAGTCTTAAGAGAGACAATGACAACGCAGACGCAGACATGTCATCCAGAGGCAGGAGCCCCTTACTTAGCACGGGGTGAAAACGGCGACCAAGGGTTTGTTGTGATAAAGTTTTAGAAGCCACAGGGGAGGGCAGAAGAAACTGTCACAAGAACATGATTGGCAGCAGACCACACTATATCACAGTTACAGGTGGGACCACAGGGCCAGGAACAGGGCCATGATGGGGACACACGTTGTATTGGCTAGAAGGGCTCACAAGATTGGTCCAGGACCCTCCGACCACCACAGTCAGGAGGACACTGATAGGACGTGACTCATGGCCATGCCACCCCCTGTCCTGTCCCCAGTGCAGTGACCTCCATCAAGGGCACATCCAGGCAAGCCCTTCAGAGGGAGTGCCCCTCGCTGGGCTGGCTGGAGAGGATGGAGGATCCACTCTTCAATCTGCTCTGCCTGAGGACAAGAGTGTCTACATTGGAGGCGAGTGATCAGAAAGAACTGACTGGAAGTCTAATCCAATTGGACACTCCTGCTGTCATTGCCATTGATAACTGATAGCCCTTTGCAAACAGTGTGCTCTGAATTCATGCTCTAACACATCCCAAACCCTGGTACAGATGAACCAGACCCTCTTTGGAAAGTGGATCTGTGCAGATGCATTTAATTAAATTAACATGAGGTCATACTGGAGTAGGATAGATGGTGACCCACGTGGGTGGTGTCCGCAGAGAGACAAGGGGAGGAGCAGCGAGCAGTGACAGCCACCAGCAAAGGACTGCCTGGGGCCACCAGGAGCTGAGAGACGGGGACAGACTGTCCCATGCGGCCTACAGAGATAGAGGGGCTCTGCAGTCAACAGCCAGGACTGGGGGACAATACAGCTCTGTTCCCATCAACCTGTCAAGGGGTTTTGTTGTGGCAGCTCCCAGAAAGATCATTGGAGTGACAACAAGTTATTGGAGCACAGTGCCATGTCTGATAGGAGAAGCAAGAGCTATCTCGGCTAAGGCCGGTTTTCAGCAGAGCTATGACATCATCCTCAGGCCACTGTGAATGGGGACTTTGTCAACACTTTAAGAAATAACAGACCTTGCCAACTAACCAACCAGTTGGTCAAGCAGCCAACCAACCAACCAGCTCACTGCCTTTTGATCAGATTTCAGTTCATGGCGACTGTCGACAGAGTTCAACTGTCCAGTAGGGTTTCCAAGTCTATGAATCTCCACGGAAGCAGACTGCCTCATCCACCCTTCTCGTCCCAGCAGCTGGTGGGTTCAAACCAATGACTTTTCCACTCGCAATGAACCATGTCACTACCAGGCCTCACTAACCATCCTTGCAGACCCAAGCCACATTCCCTGCCCTGGAGTTGATTCATCATGACTACAGGATGCAGCAGGGCTACCTCTGTGGGTTTCTGAGGCGTCAATCTTTGTGGTTTAAGTGCCTCGGGTTGGCTCCGACCCATAGCCGCTTCATGCACAACAGAACGAACCACTGCCCAGTCCTGCACCACCCTCACCATTGTTCCTATAGGGTCCCATTGAGGTAGCCACTGTCGATCTATCTCGTCCAGGGTCTTCCTTTTTTCCGCTGCCCCTCCACTGGACCAAACATGAGGT